CCGGAGGGATACCGGCCACCATAGACTTCTTCGTCGACATGTTGTGCATTCCTGCTAGTTTGATTTGTTCATTGAGTGTTTGTAATCTGGGGGACAAACGGAGGAGTGGCATGGGAATGTCTGAGGTTAGCCAATCGACTGTCACCGAGCAATCCTAGTTCAAAATCGGCTCAGTAAGCCGATATTGGCCCATTCAGGCACCGACGGCTGCGAATGGCGAAACTAATTCTGGTTTGAAGACGTTAAGGATCTGAAAAAGGCCGTTCGTTACTTTCTTCAAATGCAGTCCTCGGATCGCATTTCGGGATTTCACATGTCACTCATACGGAACTTTGGTGCTTAAGTTTCTATAAAATAACATATTTCCTCCATTCTGATCTACCTACCAAACTGCGCTGTCGGGCGGACTAAGCTTCGGACAGGAGAGTTGATCGAAGTATTTTGGGTGCGTAGATGTTGTGCCGTAAACCATGTCAGCTGCCAGCAATGTGCTTTCGACAGAGGCCTACATAAGGAAGTTGGATGTTAACTCTTGAAGACCCACTAAACTCCTTATCGGTAAAATAGATAGAGGCAAGGAAGGCTGGACGGTGTTTTTTTACTTAGCTATTGTCAGCAGACAATAATGCCCCAACTTCAGACCGTTAGGATCTAGAAGTTCAATCCGAGTTCAGTTACTTTAAATTCTAACTCCCACCAAAGTCCCACAAACACACTCTGCGTCAACTATGATGGACCGACATGAGGCAAACCAATTCGGTCCGAACTCCCAAAAGAATGTAGACGTTCCTTTTTTTCTTGTTAATTCAAAAGAGCCAATGCTGAAAGTGTGCACTGTGTCTTGCAATCGGACCTGACCTGTAAACACTGGCTCTTCGTGACCTTGATACTGCTATATTTCTCGGCGCCGACTGCATATGTAAAATGGTTCTTTAATTACTCTTACATAAGTACTGAGTTGATTTAAGCGAACATGATTTATAAGAGTTACGTACAGTTACACGTGCGAATTCATTTTGGATTAAAGTTAGGGTAAGGCTGAAAATAAAGCTTAGGGAAAGAGTGAAGGTTGGATTTAGGGTCAAGTTTGTCTACTCCATACCGTTTTACCCAATCTGGCATACTATAACCAACAACCTTGGGTTACCTGTTTTCTGCCAGTTTACGCGCTCTCAATTCATCTCTCTCAGATTGCATAGTCTGTTATGGCACCTCATTGCAATAATAAGTCAAACAAAAAACAGAAATGCAAATTTTCTCAACGCCTTCCGCAGATTCCGCTAATTATCATGTCAATTTACACTACGAACAAAACTAATAGCAACATCACGCTATCGCTGAAGTCCATGGCCTTCCTTTTCTCAGTGGGGCCGGATATCGTATCTTTCCATGTACTGTCTATGAAACGCCATAGCTGAGAAGGAATATTTTGCTCCCTGTTAAGTTTTTGTTCAACGGACATCATCGTTCACTCAATACAAGGAAAATATGTCTTTCATAGTGGATTCTCCCTTACTTTAATCAAGTGTTAATATAAAAGGTCGTGTATTCTGTTAGCTCGTATGTAAGAGAGCAGTTTTAAAAATCCGGCAAGTTCTTCGTGGTTAAGTACCAGCGCGCCAAACAATTTAGCTGGGTTTCCAAACTAAGCAGATTTTAATAAATAAATAAAGAGCGTTCTCCTTCTGCCGGCGGTAAGAAATGAAAAACTTTTTACTGTCAGAAAATGTATTTCAAACTAATGTAGACTCGTCCTGGGAGTAAAAGACAGCAGAATACTTGTTGAATGAGCACTCACCGGTCGGTCACTGGACTAACTCGTCTGATTCTGCCCTGGAGCTCTTTCTTGAGCCTCGTCGTGACAGCCGGTAGTAGTGTAGACAGATAAACATTGCCGGCAAAGACAAGGGAGACTGGCGTGAACATTTCTGGCTTATTAGTCATCATTAGCCAGCCATTCCCAACCCCAGGTATTGTGCCGCCCGAGTCTCGACC